TGCCTTCTGGGACCATGGTGCTGAGGTCTGCACTAAGCAGCCTCAGCTGAAGGATTTTATTAATACCAGGTAGCAAATCAGTATCAGAGCTGGGAACAATGGTCTCAGCACCTCCTAAGACCTTTGGCCTGGGTCAGATTAGGTTGGCAGTCAGGCAAAGTCTATGTCCATTTGCAAGCATCTCTGATTGCCATCCTTGTCTGCCAACATCTTTGACCTCCATCTTTGCTTGTGAGCATCTCTCACTTCCTTCCTTGTTTGTGAGCAGCTCTGATCTCCATCCTTGTCTATGTTGCCCAGGCTTTAACCCGAAATGGGATGAAGAGTTTACATTTGACATAGAGATCCCTGCACTTGCCCTGGTCCGGTTTGTGGTAGAAGACTTTGACATGTCGACCAAGAATGACTTCATCGGGCAGTACACCCTTCCCTTCACTAGCCTGAAGCAAGGTAAGGCCCTGCTCCCAGTTCCTCACAACCACTGAGCCCGCTGGGAAACTCCAGTGTCCTAGGTGAGAGGTCCAGATCCATCATACTTCGGGTCAGAACAGGTCCTCTCTCTGGGGTATGATAATGACCAAGATGATAAACGGTTTATTGGGCAGCTGTTAATTCTGTCTGTGAAGAAGGGATCCCCTTGTCACCAGTGGCCTTGGGCACGATATGTTACCAATGCTCAAAGCCATGCCTCTCAGACCTGCCTGTTCTGTGGGTAACAGGGAGCAAAACGCTCTGAGGCAGGGAGATGTTTTTGCAGGGTCTTGGCAAATGTTAGCAAATATTTTTCCAGTCGGACTAAAGGCCACTTTCCATCTGTGTCTCTGCTTCCAGGTTATCGCCACATCCATCTTCTAACCAAGAATGGAGATCCGTACTCCTCCTCCACCCTTTTTGTGTACATCAATATCCAGGACTGTGATTAGCAGCTCAGCTCTTTCATGGCACAGTGAACCTCGTTACAGACCTAGAAGAAATTCAGCATGTGAAGTCTGTCAACATCAGGGTCCCGGCAAATCCCCAGTGCCTTCTCTGGAGTAGCACATGGTGCTCCACAGGAGCCCTGATGTGAAATAGCCATTGACCTTCTCCATTCTGCGTGCTGGAAATCCTGATGCTGCTGTTGAGATTAATCCTTTTGTACCTGTTCGACCAATCCAGCTGTGTTTTTAGTTCACTTCATTTAGTGTGTTTTTTTTAAATTTTGCTTTTAGCAAGAGGATAGGGACTTGTTTTTAGCAAAGTACAGCTCTTGGGCTGGGTTTGATCAGACATCTGGACAAAACACCCAACATCTGTGCAAGAAAAAAATCCACCTCACCACTGAAATCAGTGACCAGAAGCCAGGTGACTTCTTGCAACTTCAGATGTTAGCCATCTTTCACTAAATGAAGTCTTAAATGGGGACACAATTCTGCTCTTTTCTGTTACAGATTAAAAAAGAAAGCTGCACTACAAAGGCTCATGTTATATAACTCGACTTTCCTTTTGTATTATAATAAAAAATACATGAACACTACTCTGCCTCTGTGCCTGGCTCTCAGCCAGGTCGCTTTGCATTCAAAGCCTGCCTCTCATCCTGTGAAGGAGAAAGAAGCTGCCGAACGGCAGATTTTCCTCTGACCCAAAGTGAAACCCACTCAAAGGGACCTCGGAGAATGTCTTTTGCTGATGACAGTGGAAATACGCTCAACTGACAGTAGGGCTTTTTTGTAATGCAGTAAAACTTTCTTTGTTTGTGTTTTTATAGAAAAATGTCATTTTTAACACAGAAGAAGTGGCAGTAGAAACTGTTGTAAATGTTAGTCTGGTCACACTTGCACTGTAGAGGTAACCTAGCACAAACAGGCAAGAGTGTTTTGAACAGCAACACAGTATTTATGGCAACAAGTGATTTTTCTTCAAGTACAACTACAGAGTTAAGGGAATATTGTTGAAATAAAATAATATATAATTTGAAGTGCTAACTGTGTTACTAACAATGTGTTAGACTATTGTTAGACTATTAAAAGTAAACAAATCTGGAAAAGTCCAATTACTTGTCACTATATGCCTCTTTGTCTTACTTGAATGCAACACACATGAAGTTGGAGATAGACAGACCTGCTTAATTTCTTAAAGCTGTCAGTCTTTCTGGAGCTTTTCGTGCTTGGTTGTGGAGGGGATGGGCTGATACCAAAGAGGTTAATGTCCTGTTAAACAAATTCCAGTCCACTCACTCCTCCACCTGTTTTTGACTCCAAAATAGCCTGGATTTAGTGATCCTTGGGCCCATTGCAAAACTGGATTTCATTTACTCCTATCTGGAGTTTATTATGCTGCAGTAATCATTGCTGAACACATTGATTTTTTCCTCTTGACTATAATATTGTGTGATGTTGTAAACCATTGCCAGATTAAATGTGAATTATATCCACAACTCAAAGGCTCATACTGAATTAACAACCAGTGGCTGAATGAGTTCAAGAGCGGCAGAGGCCACCAAGTCAGAACAGGGTGTCCTGCAGTGACGTGGCTCTCTCTTAGCTCACCTCTGGGCTGGGACATGTTGTATCAGGAGATGCATTTGAAGGCCAAGGCTGGAGCATCCTTGACTCCAACTCAGGGACATCCTGCTCCCAGGATGCTCTGAGCATTTTGTTTTAAGGAGACATGGGATAAAATCATGAATGAAGGATAGCCAGGACTGCCCTGTTCCACACAGGGAGCTTGCACCGTGTGGCCTGAGCACGATCAGAGGCATTCCTGCCCCTTGGCTTGTGCCAGCACCAGCTCTTGTGGGGTGAGTCGGGTCAGCCCCCTGAGTTGGCTGAGAACAAATTATTTGCATTTTTGGTGTTGCAGGATTAAATTTCAGTTGGATTATTGAGGTAAACCAGCCCTCACCTGTCTGCTGTGGTCAGCACTAGCGAAGAGGGGGACAGGGAGAACTAGAAAACCAACTAGTTGGTTGGAAAACCAACTCTCCCCATGAGAAGAGGAGAGCAGCAGCAGTTTCCAACAGGCCCAAATATCAGAAGGATCTATTATCTGTAAAATCCCGTGCTGGTTTCTGAGTCCTGTCAGGAGCGCTCCACTCGTGCGTTGGTGAGCATCGTGGCAGCAGGAATTAAAGCAATTTGTAGCAAACTGGCCTAATCTCCCTAATCCAACTATATTTCCACTGGTCTCTATTTCACTGCATGATGCCCGTCAGGCCCACAGTCAGGGCTGATGATAGGTGGCATTGCTGCGTTTTCTTCAGGAGCACATGCAATTCGTTAATTTAGGAGCTGGCAGGAGGATGCCGCAGCAGGGTGGTGCAAATATTGTTGCTTCCAGCAGTGGCAGTAGAGGCTGAAACAGGGATAATGTGCACTGTTTGTATCTAGTGTGAACACAACAGGAGCGATCATGCACGTAATTCGGCCAATTTACAGCTCTGCTTTACTCTTACCTTATTTTGCACGGGGGGGTTTAAATGGGTTTGGGGCTGGCCCCTCAAGCAGAAATGGGACGAAATGGTGGCAGGAGTGTGGAGGTAATGATGGGGTTGTGGCTTATTTGAAGTAACCACCAATTCTTAAACATAAAGATCTGTCCAGAAGACCCCATCACCTGGAGGTCCCTGCCTCCAGCCCAGCCAGATGGTGACACTTCCCACCTACTGCATGGTCCCGGGTGTTGTATGAGAGCTCCTAGCTCCTCAACCAACAGCCGCCTGCAGCTTCTCAGCTCCATCCCCACATCCCTGCAGCAAGGGTGGGCACTCAGGCCAACTGCTGAAGAGCCACGTTCCCACCATGGGCAATGGGGGGGGTGTCTTCAAGAACAGGGTACCTGGGCATAGGGAGACAAATGGTCCTGGCTATGTGGTGTTTGGGAACAGAGAGGGACCCCACCTTCTCAGTTTTTTCTTTTGTTTAAAAAAAAAATCCCAAATCCCATTAGAGACCAGATGTTTGAAGGATCTCTGGCCCTGCAGAGCTTTTCTCTACTGCCATTGTACCCCACACGCTGATCAAGGACACTTTCAGTGCTGCTGGTTGGCTGTTTATTTGGAATCACCGATCAGGCTGGAAATGGAGTAAAGCTGCAAAACCACACCTCTGAGTCTTTAAACATACATGTTTCTTCCTTTTGTTGCTATATCCCTTAATCACTGATCGCTCACATTTCCCCCTCCCCTCCCCAATCAGACTGAGCTTGCAGCGTGGAACGGGCACTCTCAGCCCAAAGGACATCACAGGGATGAAGCCCTGACAAAACCCTCCGTGGGACACACTCTGCCTCAGGTCATACCCAAATCCCTCCTGGCTTCTTCAAGCCTCTCGTCTGCAGGCAGGTGGACTCTTATGATCACCTGCACATGCCAGTTGTGCACATGGAGGCTAGGTGAGATTGGAGATGCTATATCTGAATGAGAAAAAAAGAGAGTCAAAATCAACAGCTATGTCCAGCCCTAAATCTCATCATCCGCTTGAAATAGACTGGCTAATAAATATGTTCTAAATAAGTGGGTTTTTTCCAAGCCAGGTTCTCATTTGTTTTACCTGCACTGGGCTAGCCATGTTAGTCTACAACTGATTCTTGCTGTTCTTTGGTGAGTAGTTTTTCTGCAAGGTAAGAAGGGGCAGAACTGGCTGGTGTTATGCCATGGGCTACCCCATCACACATCTGGATACTCCATTACCTTTTTCCTGAACTCAGGGCTCCCCCTCTGTCCTTCTAGGGCTTCCCCCTCTTCTCCCCACCCAGAATTTACATAGCAGCTGCAAGCAGCCTTTGTCTTGCCTAATTTTAAACTTCTACAAATGAAGGAAGATCATGACCTTGTGCACGGGGCAATTTGCGAAATGGAGAGGAAAGAAGAGGCTACAGTACAGTTGTGTGACACACACTTGTCTTCATGGCTGTCAGCAATAAAGTGTCAAAAAAGAGGCAAAAACATCCTGCAAAGTCATTCCTGCAGAAGAAACATTCCTGCCTCCTTAGGGTCAGGGTTTGCAGGGAGAAAGGAGCAGTCCCCTGAACAGTGGCTGCTGGAATAACTGCATTGGAGCTTGGCCTGATTGAGGTGTTGGGTTGGGTTCACTGAGCAAATGTCTGTACTTCTTCCCTGCAGCTCCTAAGAGAGCAAGGGCTGGTCCCAGAGTCACTGGAAGCTGGATGGCCCCTGCGGTCTCAGAAGAGTCCACACTGCTTCTTCTCATTCTGCTGCTTCCATTTGGGCATCTGGTAGAACTCATCCTTGGACTTCCCAAAGATATCGTGGAAATCAGCATCAGAGAGATAGTACTGCAGCGGGAGGAGAGAGCAAAAAAAGGTCAGCTTTGGCTTTTGCAGAGGCTGGGACACCCCCATCGGCTGCATCCCTTCCTCTCTGTGTCAGTGCTGACCCCCGATTCCAGGCCAACAGCTCCTGTCCTACTGCCTGTCCTCACGGTGGGAAATGGAACGTCCCAGCAACTGTTCCTCATCCCGCTTCCCAAAGTAACAGGGGAATAAAAGCCCACCAGCCCAAAGGAATGCTCTGGTTTTGAGGGGTTAGCATGCTCTGGCTGGAACTTGGTGCCTGCTAATCATATGGAGGACAGGACAATTCATGGTGCATCGGTGATGTTCTGCTGGCCAAAGTTTTGGGTGGTTTCTTAGGTAGTGATTCACAGTGAAAGCATCTCCCCCTTGCTCAGTTCCACCCCCCAAATATTCCACTGGAAATAGTCACTCCCACTGCTAGAACGACAGAAGGTTTTGTAGATAATGGGCTCATCAGTGATACTGAGAAAGACCCTGTGGGAAATAGAGGTTTAGTTTTCCCCGGCATTTTGGGTAGAAGAAAGCGCTCATGTACATCCCAGCTGAAATACAATCATCAGCACGTGGGCATGGCCGTGGGGCAGAGCTGCTGGCCCAGCTGTGGATCAGCTCTCTGGCTGCGGGTGTTTGCCTTTGCCAGGAGATCTGCTGGGACAAGACATTGGTCAAACACGGGTCATAGAGAGGAGAGGGAATCAGCCCCCTTTGTCCCTCCCATCGGCTTGCTTGGACTCAGCTACAGACGTTGCCAAAATCCTTGGGTTGATCGGAAATCTGAGATGTGGCATTCCTCCCTGTCCCTGGATGGGATTTACTGAAATGCAAGCTTTCTGACAAAAAAAAAAACCCAAAAAACCCAACAACAAAAAAAACAACAAAAAAAGAGATCTCTTCTGGAAGGAGTTTCAAATGAAAACAAACACCCACAGCCCAGGCAAAATGCAAGTCCTGGCTTCATTCTCAGCTGTGTCACTTTGTCTTGCAGGACCTGCACTTTTCATTCTCTGTCCCTCCAAGGACAGAGGTTGGGTGGCAGAATTAAACAACTCTAGCAGAAGAAAATAGTTTGAAAAGTAGCTATTTAAAACTCATTTTTCTCCCCCCACTCCCCTAAAAAAAAAAAAAAAAAGAGAAATACATTAAGTAGGGTAAAACTACTACAATTTCCTCTCACGTGAAGCTCCTGCTTTTTGATGAGACCTATGTGTCCAGCTGGTATCTCCTTGAACCTTAAGCAGGACTTAATAGTCTAAAGTACTAGTGCACTTAGCCAGTGACTAAGTTCCAGGTTAAGCTACAAAGGCATCAAACCAGCAATGCTGTCACCTCTTTTTTAGTAGGATCCACGCCTTCTGGAAGTTCATCCACCGTCTTGTTCATCAGCACCTCTCGGGAGTAAATTCCTTCGCCGTTGGGCACCATGGAAGGGCTGCTGTTGTAGGTGCTGCTATTGCTGTAGCTGTTGCTGTCACTGTGGTTCAAGTGCGATTTATACTCAGGGGAAGCACTTGCTATACTTGAACCTGCCAAGCTGGTCATGCTGAGGGTTTTCTTGTTCAGGCTGATGTTATTAAGGTCCTGCCAAAGGTAGGAAAACATGTCAAGACAAGAAGCTCTGGCAGAGCAACTTGGGGGTCATCCCAGGACCTTTCTCTCTGTTGGGGTTGGGGGGACTGTTTCTGGCACAGACTATCTGTTGGTTTGTTGCTCCAAAGCAGCAAAGGGAAAGTCTGAGCTAAAACATTAGTCCAGCACCTCCATCAACGTTACATTGTGATGTTAGGACTGCCAAAAGCACAGCACTAATGAGAGCCCTTAGAAATAACTGAAAATACTCACTGTAGTCTCATTCTTCTCATGGTAACAGCAGGGGAAGGTGCATGTGGGAGGACAGAAGGTGAGATTAGATATGTACCATGCCTAAAACTTCTAAATTACCTGCATACCCTCCCTGATATGCCATCTCTCCTGGTTCAAAGCCCCTGCCACTTCCTTCAAGCCTTCCTCCTGCCCCTGTCCAGGGCAGAACTGATCCCGTGTGACAGTCACGTTTGGGACTCTTGGGATCTGGTTTCCTCTGTGCTTTGTAGGATCTCCCACTGGGCTCTGCCCTCCCTGACCAGGGGCTCCTTGTCTGGGGTCTTGTCTAGTGGCCCCACCACTGCAAACTACTTATACAACGCTTAACTGCACACTCTTATAGCTGCACGCACTTTTATTTGCGTGTGTAGTTTAGAAAGCAGCTGGCCAATCTCCTGCTCACCGATGCCTCTGCACAGGACTGGAAAAGCCCCAGGAGATCTGGGTGTATTTATGAGTTATTAATCACGTCTCCCTCTGCTTTCCACGGAGGAGCACAGCTCTGATCCTGACAGCCTGAGGTCCCCACGCCTGCCCTGATCATTATGTCCTCTCCTTCGTGCGAACAGGCTGGGGGACGCGGTGGGGTTTAAACCCAGGCGTTTCCCACCCATATGGTCGAGAAGCAACTCACCACTTTGATCTCGGATATAGCCGACATCTCTCCTAAGCTGTTCTTCATCTCCTCATAAGACTTGCCATCCTAAAGGTAAAGAGAGTTGTAAGAAGCACAGGCTGCCTTTAATTAGCACATGCTCCTGTTCTCTATCGGGGTCAGGACATCATATGAATTTTAAAGCGAAGTGGTGCCCATGCAGGTGGCAGCTGGTGCCTCCTGCAAATCCCAGCTCGTGGAATCAGGAGACTGTGCCAGAATCTGAGCTTTCACTTGAAAACAAAGAAACAAATGGACTTTAGCCTTTGCAGTTGTACAGTAACGGGTGAAACCAGGAAATTTAAAGACTTCAGAGAGCAGAAGGCAAATGAAGAGAAATCATATTTACTACAGGATTGAAATATCTTAGATTTTAAATGAATCTTGCAATGCATGAAAATTTGGGATAATATAATATTCCTTTTTTCCCTTCCCTGATTCATTTAGCTAAAGCAATCGATTTTTCAAAGCCTCAGTCCCTGACTTCTTGTAATTTGGTGCCATGTATTACCAGCTACCTCTTATTTCCTAAAAAAAATGGAATATACTAGATATATTAGCAAAGCTCATGACTGTGTTTTCCTAAGCAGCCAGGAGATGTCAGTTCTTAACAGAATCATTGAGCGAAGTTCCCCAACAAGAACAAACAACATAAACACATGGACTGCAGAGCAAACAAATTTAGACCCAAAACTGAGCAATGAACACACACACCAGATGTTTCTGGGATGTCAACAGTTTGGATTGCTTGTCTGTAGTTGCTGGAGCTGCCTACAGGGGATATTTTTAGAGGCACATATTTTATGAGCTGTATCCTTGTTTTTCAGCGGTTGCTCAGAAACAAACAAGGTTTGACCTTTGTTCTAAGCATCAACATTGTTTTACAGGTCATTGCTCTGGGAGTTGCTGTCTTATCTGTCCAAACCCGGCTGTCAAGACAGGCTCTCTACCACCACACTGGTTGCAAAGAAAGACGATGCAAACCCAGCTACAGGAAATAAAATATCTCTGTATGAGTTTTCCTGCAGTGTGAAGCCCCCTGGGGACCTTCACGCCATTGCCCTGGCTGTCCCACCTGCAGGCTCCAGCATGGGAATTCACTCACAGCCCTTTGGGCAACTAGAAGACTGGATTGCTTGTGAACAGGCTGACCGCCCATGTTCATAGAAAAAACCAGGAGCGAGAAGGGACAATCAGTAGCAGCCCACCGGGGAAAGCTCTGGGAATACACCCTCTGGGAGCTGAGCTTTTCCCAACTGCCCATCATCTTCTGCCTTGGGGTTTTTTTTTGCTTGTTTTGTTTTGTTTAAGCCGTGAACACCAGTGCCATCAGCTGGCAGGAATTTAGGTGCACAGCCTGGCAGCATTGCTTCCACCTGGCTGTTTGCTATAAACCAATACTCTGGCTCTATTAATCACCAAAGCCCCTCCAAGATTGTTCTTTATTCCCAATATATTCTGTGCTGTAGCACAAAGTCCCCAGGCTGGCTGGACCGGCTGGTGCGTGGTCTGCGTGGAGTTAAGTGCACCTCTCCTTCTTCTGTCCAACCATGCTGTGCCCAACCAAGGTTGGAGACTGGGTCCTGACAGTGCACCATGGGGTTTTGTGCGCTGGCCACAACAGCAAATCTCTGCTCCGCATTATACTCCTGAAATGATTTGAAGCCCATGTGTTTGAAAGAGGAGAAAAAGGACTTCTTTCTTTCCCAGGCACCTCCTCAGGCACGTTTCCATTGCTATATAGCGAAGAACTGGTATTTCTAAATCAGCTTTTGAGAAGGCTTGTATGTAGGGACCAAGGGTGACCTTGCTCAGGAGCTCCTGGGCTCTGATGGGCAGCCTGCAAACCTGAACACGAGACCTGTCTGCTCGCATCTTTCATTTCGCCAGAGTTTGCCCTTCAAGCTGGGCCATAAATTTTTCTCTGTGACTGCATTTTGAAAAAAATGAACTTTTTTTTTCAATTTTCTTTATGATGTGGGGTGCTTCTGTTTTCACCCTGAACTTGGTTTTACTACTAGCAGTCCCAACCCATTTTTGGCTGAAATCACAAACCTGATTTGGGACCTAATCTTTTTTAAAATAAAAATGTGAATATTGTGAATTCAAGCACATTTACTTATATTTGCAAAGGCCTCAGTTTCACCAAAACCAGCTACTTTTTGCTGGCGAAGGAGTAGAAGCTGCTCAGGTAGCACCAGGAAGGCATGAAGCTCAGGGCATGTCCTAGCTAGGTTTTGCCCCATGCACCACAGAGGATATGGTCACTGATGATAACACCCTTTAAGCACCGCTGAGCACACGTGCACACCACAGGGCTTTTCCAGAAACTTACGCTCCATTTGTAGGGGTCCCAAGCGTTGAACCATCCTGTGAAGTTGAGGGGTTCGTAGCCCTGCTTCACCAGTATTATCGGAGTTGCCAAGTCTCTCCCTGCCGGATGGGTCTTGAGAAACTCCTTAGCTGAAGCAACTGCTTCATTCCTCTCGTATGTGTTGGAGGCTTTGCCAACCCAAAGGAAAATCTGCAAGGAGAGAATGTGTTGAAGATCATTGAGTACTTAAGACCTGTGCAGACATGGCTGTTTGCTCTCCCCTGCCAACTGGAGCGGAGATAAGACTGGAAATATTGTTTCCCAATAGTTCCCTGGGATTTTGATCCCAGATTTACTCCCAGCCAAGACAGATTTTGCTTTTGAGACAGGCACAAAGCATAAACATTTCAGGAAACAGTTCTTGTACGTTTCAAGGTAGCTAAACTCAGATCCTTGCATGGGCCAAAACTCCAATGGCCTCAGAAAGCAAAGCCCCCAGAGACAGTTTCTGATGGTCTAAAGCAAGTTGTCACCATTGGTGCTGGGAAACAAGGGGGAAGGTTTCTGGGTGCCACCTCCTTATAGGAGCTGGCAAAGACTGGAGCAGGTTCAGCTCTTCTTAACTTGGAGCAAGGCAGGGACCAGGTGTCTTGGTTTCCTCCTTTCTGAAACAGGGCTAGCAATACTACCTCACTCACGTGTTTTGTGAAGGACTGGACATGCGCCTGCTTGTCTGCCCAAGCATCATGAAGGGTTTGGAGATGGGGCAGAAGGGATATTACCCTTGGTTTCACCTTGAAGGATGGATTCAAACCAATTAAGCCATAACCTGTTTGAAAATACGTCTGGGAAGAAGGGGAGTCTGTGCTGACCTCTTCCCATGTGTCTAGCAGCATGACGTCATCTTCATCCAAGTCTTCCTGGCAGAAGCCCACCACCTCTGTCATGATGAATCGACCCGTCTGGTTGGAGCACTCAAAGAGGCGAGGTTGGTAGTGTGTGATCTGCTCTTGAAACCTTCCTCATGCATGGGAGGGAAAGAAAAAGCAAGAGAGGTGGAAACCTTTCCCTTGTGGTTTACTGCAGGGCCCTGCCACTACTTGTCATGACCTTGATGGAAGAGGTGGGAACATGGCAACACTCATCTGAGGGCCTGAAAGTCAGCAAAGTCAGGTCTCGGGATTCTTGGACCATTTTAACAATTTTTAAAGGTAACTTTTTCTCCACCCAAAGAGGGCAAAAGCAGAACCCTTCTCTCATTGTGGAGATGAGCCTGATGTCAGGTGAAAGCCATATCAGATTGTTTGGTTGCAGAGGAACCCATCACCTGCCCAGAGGCCTGGAGAAATCCAGGTTGTTCAAAAGCAGATTTAGTTTCATGAATCTTCTGGGGCTGCCCATAAACCTAATAATAGCTGGAAATGGAGCATGTGGTTCATGCAGCCCTTATGACAAGATGTGGGATGGATTTACTGTGGAAAAGGAGGATGTAGCACACCCTTGCCTGCAGGGTTTGGATCTGCAGCTCCTACTTCACAGAAGGCCTGACCCAAAACCTAGGAAAGAGACATCTTGGTGTAGTTTCTGACCAAGCTTTTGGTGATATTCTGACCTCGTTCTCCCTTTAGTGAGGACACAGTATCAGAGTGCTTACTCACCTTCCTGCAAAGTTTTGATCCCTTGCTTAATGTTGCCTGGCCAAGCCCAGAGGAACAAGCAGGTCACTATTACCTCTTTTCACTGGCGTAAGGTGCTTTGCCTCCCAAGGCTTCCCAGAACTCTGCGGGCTCTTGTCCTTCCAAAATGGTGAGCTTGTCCCGTTTGGAAACGATGTCAGCTACCATTTTTGCCATCTCCCTCTCATCTCCGCTGCACCCCTGTGTTCAGAACATAAGATTGAGGTGGAGTTAGGGACAGCCTGGCAAAACTTATCTGTGGGGAAAACTTGGCTTGGTCCTACCCTCCTCTGGAGAGTTTTAGACCTGCTTGAATGCTTTTGAGGGTCTCATCTGAGCTGGTCACTCAGAATCCATTTCTAGTCCTTGAAGGGACATTCAGTGCAGCCAATGGCATCTAGACCAAAACTCATATAATCACAGAATGGTTTGGGTTGGAAGGGACCTTAAAGATCATGTAGTCCAACCCCCCTACCATGGGCAGGGACACCTTCCACTAGACCAGGTTGCTCAAAGCCCCATCCAACCTGGCCTTGAATACTTGAAATGATGGGGCATCTGCAACTTCTTTGGGCAACCCTTCTGCTTCGGTTTGATCTACGATCTCATCCTGAAACACTCGACTAAACCAGGATAAATGAATATGCTCTAATGCTGGCTAATTTCTTACAGCTGGAGAACTTGGGGTGCTTTATTCAGCTGAAACTTGTATGTACATCTAAAATGAGGTGAGGTGAATCCCAAAATGGGTTACTTCTGTAGAGAGAGGGCTGTGCTCCTGCTGATCCTCTACAGACAGAGCCTTCTCCTGGGTGGACCTCGCTCTATCGAAATTAATGGGCTACCTGCCCAAAGATACCCCTCCACAGTGGTGGTCGGAGGGTCCATCCCCACATCAGCCATTTTGGGTCCCTTCAGCTGCCTTCCCTGGACTCCCTGCAGTCTCACCTTCCCGCACCACAGGTAGCAGACTTGGCTGGTCGACAGCAGGAAGACGTCGTTGGAGTTGAGCGAGGAGGCCCGGGCTGGCACCTCTGTGGCCTTCGTGTTCATCTCGTCCGTGCCCCTCACCTGGAAGAGGCGGATCGCCGGCTCGGGCGTGATTTTCTGAGCCCGGCTCGTGCCGCCCTGCAAGGACACAGAGGGAAGGATGGTATTGGGAGGTGAGGAGGGCAGGCAAACCCAGGGTGCAGCTGGTTTGGGGCCACAACCTTCCATGCTGCTGCAGCGATGGACCATGGTCCACAGAACAGGTGAGGAAATCCAAATACCTTCTGGTTCCAGGTCAGAATAAAACCCACATGTCATAACTTCCGTATTTCTCCCTGGTTATTCCGAGTCTCTCCCACCTCCCATCAAGATGTTCAAGTTCAACGTGAACAGGTCTCAGTGTCTGCAAAGCATTTGCCATGTAAACTGGGCAAGGCAGCTGGACTTGTATTTCCAGCTGCACTCGAACATCTGCCATAGAAGTTGTATGGTGCGACTAACACTGAGAGCTGAGGGCAAACTCCCTCTTCCCCAGCCATTTGCAATGTCTCCACCACTGATGCTGACAGCCAAAGCAGCAAGTGAAGTGGGTTAGTAGTTAACGTGATATAATTCAGGCAGGGACAACTCAAATCATGTAACTGTTTGTAGGATATTTTGGAGGACCCTTTCTTGATAGTCGTATCTGTAATTTAGAGGATGATTGTCGTATTATAACTCTGCAAAATATTTTGGGATAGAGTTGGAAAAAACATCACACATTAACGCTGGAGCTCGGGGTGGACAGCTGAGTCTGGGTCAGTCCAGGACTGTGTTTACACATATGGTGTTCAGACTACTTGGGAAGTAGTAGAAATGTTCCACCACTTCCATCTGCCAGCCCATGTAGTCCTGGCAGGCTCCTTTCCTGAATACAAGCCCATTTTCCTGGACTGTTTCCATTGCAACTGCCAAGCCATCGATGGTTCTTGCACCTTCCATTGCCCATGCGCACGAAGCTACATTACCTCGTAAATGACCAGCTTGCCCTTGAAGATTGCCAGGAAGTGTGTGGGCTCCTTGCCCATCGTCACGCGCACCTGCACGGCCTCGTCCCCGTGCTTTTTGTCCAGCTCGATGGCATTGAGGGCACAGGCGGTGATTTCATCCACAGAGGCATGGCGACCCTGGGGAAGAAAGAGAGGCTGCATGTAACGTGATGAGGTGAAGGGTGTAAAGCTCTGCACGGTGTAACATCTTGTCAGTCCCAAGCCCTGCATATGATATCGTGAGATCAGAGTTAAAACGACCAGAGGTTTAAATTTCACTTGCATTCTGGTTTTGGAGGCTTTAGCATCCCATTTTCAAAGCTTCTCTTTGCATTCCAGGGGAGGTAAATATACTTTAAAAAGGAAAGCAGAGATATTCATATACTCAGGTGTCTCCAGGAGCTCAGGCTTTAAGGGACGATCTGAAAGACTGCAAAGTTTGACCTCAGCACTATAAGCCACATCATCCTTCACTATTTCTGTCTGACATTGCTGGCTCTCAGTCTGATGCCAGCTTGGGCTCAGAGTGTCCATGCTGCCTACAAAGCACAGCTTGGGCTATTTGCAATGGACAACTAATGAGCAAAGGACGTGTGAGTTCTTCTGGATGGGAAGAACTGGATTGGGAACAGCCCCTTCTGCTTTGGCTTGACCTACCTGCCACATGTAGAGGACATAGTGAGGCCTGCCTGATCTCAGGTAGGTGTACAGGACCAGGTAGCAATCACCCCCGTAGAACTGCCCATATGTCTTGGGATTCACTGGCTGCATTTGCAAGTCCTCAATCCTCCACACCTAGTGAAAGAAACATCTCGGTGAGCAGCAGTGGAATCAACATGAAGACGGAGCGCAGCCCCTTTGCCAGCAGACCACTGAAGTTCAGGTCTTCAGTTGGAAAGATAAACCTTCCCCTCTCCTCCAGATGCCAGCCTATGTTCCCCCAGCTTGACTAAGTGCTTGCTGGCAAAGTCTGGTCTCTCCAATGACCACCACAATACATGTGTCATTAATGGACTTTCGGCAGTTGGTAGCCCTCAAGGAGGAGCAGCCTCCAGATCCCTTTCAGCCCCACAGTCCCTCTCTCAACCAGCTCCATCTTCCATGGGAGGCCACAAGAATGGGAGAGGGGCCTCTGCTCTGCACAAGTTTGGTTGATATGGACCTAACTGAGAGACAGGGTGAGAAGGGAATCGACTGTATCACCTCATGACCCATCCACATGGCAGGAGAGGGGTCAGCTTGGTGACTGCTTTGCTCCACAGGCCATGGGTTGGAGGAGAAATGCCCCCGAGCTACTGTAACTGCTGTGTAAGTTAAAGCTGGCAAGCAGGTTGCTCTGGCTGAAGCCATGCTTTCTTGGGGAGGATAGGTGGGCACATCTCCACAGCTCCATACAGCTGCTGCGTGTGAAAAGGCAGAGGCGTTTGGAAACGCTCTGGTAAGTGCATCGTCTGTCAGCGAAAGGAGCTCTCTCACCTCTATCTCCCCAGAGGCATCATCGACCATTCTCTGCTCAGCAGCTAGCTCCGGTCTGGCGTGGAGCTGAGTGGTGTCAAACTTCACCTGCTCCACCTTGGCTGCATGCACCAGCAGGAAAAAAACCAAGAACCCAGTGAATGCACAGTTACATACAAACCCTCTGCGTCACCCTCACGCACACACACAATCGTTATAGACGCGAGAAAAGCCTGGTCCGCCGTTGCAAGAAGTTAGTCGTGCCACCAGTAAGCCAATGTTGATTTTGGAATATGCAAGAGCTCACACACTCCAGTGTTGATCTGTTACAGGCTGGCAACTGGCCATATAGCACGTTCCAGTAATGATTGGCTGGTAAGGATATTAGTTGTCTCCTGACTGAAAATTCATAATTGTTTTCCAAATCTATACATATTTACCTCCTTTTAAAATGTTGCTTTCAGAAATAAAATGGCTACATTTCTCCAGCTCATGATAAAGAGAGAAAGTATTTATGGACAGCACAGAGAAAGACAGAGGTCGAGAAAAAAGAAAGAACTTGCAAAGCCAAGAGATTTGCGGCTCTCAGGGTATTATTGATGGAGACATTCAGCATCTCTGTCACCATCCCACCATTCATCAGCAAGTTCTCTCTCTTTGGTATTGTTTACTCTTTGGGGTTAATGCATTGTAATATTCACTTCAGCAGCGTGATAAATTGAGGCACCGTTTACACCTGGTGTAAATACAGAATAATTCCATTGATGTCAGGAGGGTCTTGGATGGATGCCAGTGTAAATGAAAGCAGAATGTTGTTCAACACTTCCTTATCAGGTTCAGTATTAGCCCTTTATAAAGAAAATGAGGAAGTTCTGCATGTGTGAAGTTTTACATACAATTTTTCAGATGAAAGTGATCTTCTGCTAACATTTACATTTGGAATAAGTGGCAGTTTAGTTCATATAAGAAGCCTCAGCAGTTCTGAATGCTGTTCAGTTCCTGAATCCCTTGCATCTACTGAAGAAGGTGGAAAATACAAGGTGTGACAAGAATGTGCACTAGATTTTCAGGATACTGAAGGCAGGAGACAGTTAATGTGAATGATGTTCCCTCAGCTGTGGCTTAGCACAGGTAGGAAAGCCAAATCCAGGACAAACATGCTCACCAATTTTGCCAGTAGTGTAGACTTTGCCCAGTCCTTGCGTTTCATCCTTTTCTGTCCACCTCTGGAAGAGCTGTTTAAACATGGCTGACTCTGCTCCATCACTGATCACTTCAATGTTGGTGGATGAAGGATAGCCTTTGGCTTGGATAAAACCCTAGTGGGGTTGAAAAAGGACATTAGTGGGGACACACCGAGCTTTTTACACACATGGGAAGAGGGATGTGGACCTGAAACAGCCCAAAGAGTGAACATCCTCCAGTGAACACATGACCAAGGGGCAGGATTCACCCCAAGACTTGCGTTCAGACTTACAGAGATGTCTACAAGCTCTCACTGTAGTATCTATGTTTATTTCTGTGTTTAGGGGACTGAACCCTAACCCTAGAGGCTGGTCACCTGGATCACATCCTACACTTAATCTCTACATGGCACCTTAATCTTGAAAAGAATCTCACTCAATGGGTCTAATGAAAATCTTCCTCCTCTATCTCAGACAGCTCCATTGATGGCTTCTGGGGATGGATCTAGGACTGGAGGGAGCAGTGATGGGGTGTGCTCATGACCCAAGTGCCTAGTTCAGTTCTTTGTTTTTCTCCAACCTTTTTGTCCCTTTCTAAAACAAGGAGACTGTCCTCCCTGTAGTAGGATAGAGAGCATGCATGCCAGGGTAGTGAAGGGATGGAGCCAGCTAAGTACCCCAGAGCATGGTGTGTGTTCTGAAAGGACTAAACACTCACAAATCTCTATTTTTTTTTTCTTTATTTTTTTTCTAAAACCACATTATTTCTTTGCAATAGAACTACTATTGAGATAAAAGACTACTTCAAAAGAGGTGCTTGATACAATATGAGAGGGAAGAAAATTATCTGTGTTCTGCCACAATGCCAAAGTCATTGCTCGTTTTTCTGGGAACTGCTCTCATGTTTATCTCTGCAGGCTCCAGGATGACCTGGAGGTACAGTGCTGACAGCCGTGGTTCAGGAAAGGAGCCTGACTGTGGGCTTCTGAGCATTCATCTTCTGCTGTAAATACTGCAGCCACACACTACCCCCAGGGAGAAGCAGAGCAGATGGTCTTCCCATCCCTCCCACCTGCCACACTGAAAGAAAGAGATATCTTTTGTTCTACATGTGTAGCTCAGGGCCAGAATTTGCAGAGCTGATTGATTGCCTACTAAAAAGCATCCGAGTTAGTTAAGCTTTTGAAAGGAGCACAGAGGACTGCGAGATAAGTTTTAAGGCAAAATTTGTCTAAGCTTTTCTTCTCCAAGACAATAGGTGCAATTGGTATTGAAGCTGGGTGTCTCCCTGGCTGGGTTCTCAACCTGGCTGGTTGAAGTTGGGGCCACTGAAGTTCAGTATCTCCTAGTAAGAGCTCATTGAAGATGAGGCTGTTTATGGTCTTGACGTAAGTGAACAGATGAATTAAAAGCTAAGTTAAGTTCCCTTGTAGCATTTACTTCAACGTGCCAACTTGTGAAAAAACCCTACCAAATGCCTTACTTGCTCAGGCTCCCTTGAGGCTAATTTTTTTCTGAAAGGAAGAGTTGAGGCATGCTCTGCCAGAAAAGAACTGCATGGCAGCTCATCTGGAGGAGCGGCATAGGTGCCAGGGCACTATGCTGGTGTACTCTACCTTAATGTGAGCCCTGTGCTTGCCTCAGGTTGGCCAATCTGAATTAATAGCAGTTAATAACAGATATCCTTCTACCCAGTGGAAGAGCCCTGTATCATCTTCAAATTCACAGGCTGTCGCGGTTTAACCCCAGTCAGCTACTAGGCACCACACAGCTGCTCGCTCACTCCCCCCCCACCCAGTGGGATGGGGGAGAGAATCGGGAAAGAAAAGTAAAACTCATGGGCTGAGATAAAGACAGTTTAATATGACAAAAAGGAAGAAAATAATAATGATGATGATAATAATAATAATAATAATTAAAGAATTGGAATATACAAAACAAGTGATGCACAATGCAATTGCTCACCACTCGCTGACTGATGCTCAGTTAGTTCCCGAGCAGTGATTCCCCCCCAGGCCAGCTCCCCCCAGTTTATATACTGGACATGATGTCACAAGGTATGGAATACCCCTTTGGCCAGTTTGGGTCAGCTGCCCTGGCTGTGTCCCCTCCCAACTTCTTGTACCCCTCCGGCCTTCTTGCTGGCTGGGCATCAGAAGCTGAACAATCCTTGACTTAGTCTAAACACTACTTAGCAACAACTGAAAACATCAGTGTGTTATCAAAATTCTTCTCATATTAAATCCCAAACATAACACTATACCAGCTACTAGAAAGAAAATTAACTCTATCCCAGCCGACACCAGGACACATGCAGAACCTGGGCCCAGATCCATTGGTGCTGTGAAAAAGACTTGTTGCCTGTAATGGACTTGCAGTGGAGGCCTGTAGCACCCACATAAAAGGTCTGGCTTTTCCAGAGACCCCAAGTAATCGAGTTCCCCACTGACTTGCACAAGGCATTACTCTTGGTTGGGAACACAAGAGATGCCTTTCAGGGCCAGAGCAGTGGTCCGTGCTGCCTGGGACAGTGGCAGTAAGAGATGCTGTTTAGTGACACATGAGCTTGGTGGCTGTTTTCGCTGTGATCCCTTCACTCTCCCCAACATCTACAATAATGGGTCACGGATGTTAGAGAGAATGTAAGAGCCCCTTTAATATCTGTTTATGGACCTCTTGATCATGAATTTGTCTAATCCCATCTCGACCCTGATGATACTCTCTGCCTCCAGCATCTCTTGAATCAACAAATTCCAGAAATCCATCATATACTGCATAACAAAGTATTTTCTTTTATTCTTTCTTTTCTTTAACAAATTTCTTCACAGTTTTAGTGGCAGGTCTTAGTTCTAATGCAATTTGGTGACTAACAATTTTGTGTTTACGTCATCACGCCTCCGTTAGATGTTTAACTTCTCTCTCTGCTATTACACAGGCCAGCTCCTCAAGACCTACACTTAATTGTAATTAGTGGTCAGATCTAGATTAGCACTTAGTCAACCTCCCACGACATTGTTTGCACTATATTACCACTCACCACAGCTCGAGTGAAGCCTGCTTTTTTCTCTTCCAGGCTGGAGGCTTTTCCTCTCCAGACGTAAATCTTAAACCCACCTTGGTCTAAAATGTAGCAGTCCTGAGGTGAAACAGAAAAAAACAGACATAAAAAAACTCTGTGCAGGAAAAAGTCCTAATTTGTAGCCTACTCGGGTTGGATCCTTCTGGAAGATTTAGATTAGATATAGATATAGCTCATTTCCTTGCCTTGCAGAGCTCTAACCCTGGTGCAATCATCAGCAGAGGCAAGAGAGGATGGATTTACTGTGGTTCATAAATGGACTACAACTACCATCAACCCTACAGTGCAAGGGTTCATGAGTATGCTGACTTTGTGAGCACACCTGACCCAGGCAGCTGCCCTTTAACTGTAATGAGTTAAAATATGTGTTTTTCTTAGGCATTGCTCAAAACTGGCCATTACCATCTCATGAGAGATTTTCCCAAACCAATGGAAACACCAGCTCCAAAAGGCTCCAGGGGAAGTGTATGCTGAAATATCATCCTCAGTCTGCTGATGGTGGTGCTCATTTATGCCAAAACTGCTACTAAAGGAGCAGGAAAAGTCCAAATTAGACATCTTCTGCATGACTGTTTTGTGTCCCCGATCTGGAGCTAAAAGTGTTGCATTACTGTGGATGCAGCGGGATCCCAAACCCAAAGGGGATGAGATGGCTGCCGAGCAGCCTGTCTCCACTGCAGAGAGTTGGTGCTCCAAACTGACAAACCACTGCGTGACCAAAGGCTTCTCATTTTTCAGACTGAACTTTGGCAAGAAAAGCAAAAGCTTCACATGCCTGTAGGAGGAGACTGAGATTTAACAAGGCTGACACCAGGGTGAATAAGGGAGCTGGAGCCTTGCAGCACAACGCTGTTTTGGAACAGGCTGCTTCGCACTGCAGAGAATTAAGGATGAGCAATTCTCTGACAAATTCTAGCCAGAAGGATATTATTCTGTTTTCTGAAAGCCTTTGAACAGAGGGTCTGTAAGGAATCTCCTTGCAGGGTGGGTCACTGAAACCAGCCACTTGCTACAGCAGGAAAACGTATCTTCATGATTTTGTAAGCAGAGTATTTATTTGCTCTGAATTCTGCAGATAGAGGGCTATCCCCGAACGTGAGGTGCTGAGAAGCCTTATTTCCGTCTGGAATATATTGCTGGCCCACAGCAATCCTTGACTCTGATTGCCAAGCTAATGTCATCTTTGGCTGAGAGGGTCAATTTGCCATCTCCCGTTAGAGCAGCTTCAACGCACCACCTACTTGTGGCCACTTAGTAGGGGTAAGCTGTCCTGTTTTCAGAGGACACCTGATAAACCTGAATGGTTGGAAGGGCTGATAATTTTCAGGAAAACAGGGTATACCACTGAAACAGGTGCTCAGCTGAAAATACAGCAAGCCACAGCATCCTTTTCTCGCTGTAAGGACTGATGGCTTTCTCTCACCTCGTGCTGGAGCAGATCCTGCGTCAGGGGTCGGGTGGCTATCTCCTGTACCACCAGGTCGTTGTCCTTCTCATAGACACTGAAAGACAGAGTCACCGAGCAGAGTCAGCTTCTCAGCACTCGCCGTGAGAAAGGAGAGGGTTTGCAGCCCATCCCTGCACTTACTGGTAGAGCCGGACATTTGCTTTCTGCAGCTCATCTGCTTTCGCATCAGGGATGGCGTCTCGGAGCTCCCCGTGCCTCTCACCCAGCACCATCTTCATGATCTGCATGAGGTCCGGGGAGTCTTTCTCGTTGTCAATAATGCCGATCTGAGCGCGGCCACCTCTTTCGCTGTCCCTGATGCTGCGAGCCAGCACGAGACCCTGCACAAGGATCACCAGGGGTAAGTCTTGATCCAGACAACAAATTCAGCATGACTCACACCTACAGCAATGACTAAGCACCAATAGTCCAACACAGATTACCACAGATCTATGAAGCTTCTAGTGTCCTCCAAGTTCAGCTATTAAAAAAGAGGATGTCTATAATGACTGCTTATTAACTAACTCTCAGGAAAATATTGCTTATTACAGTCACTCCGGGTGCTCGCTCCTGCAGGGCACAGGCACACAGTAGCCACAGCAGGCGTTGCCTATGAGTGACTGTACATGAGCAGGTCCAAATATCTTCTGAGATGGTCTGGAGAGAGATGCATGCATGCTGAGGACAACAAGGCTGGATCCTGCAGAGCTGCAGGACCCTGGGTGCCCTGTGGTGACATTTTACATTTAAACCTTTCAAGTATTCAAAAACCGTGGATGTTTTCAGTAAAAAAAGCAGCGTGAAATGCCAAGCATCTAAGTAGACTGAAATTTCCATTTTTCCATTGAATTCTTTTTTCCATGCCTCTTACTGCAACAGCTTTGAAAGGGGCCCCTCTTTGTTAGACCTGGGAAACGACCTGCTTGATTGCCAGGCCTGAGATGAACCACGGCCTCTTCCTCAAAGCAGCCTCCTTCTACCTTCTCCCCCTTCTCTGTGTCCTGAGAGTTTCTTTGTCTATTCTCCACCCTCCATTGGATCTTCTCTAGCCATTGAGTCCTGGAAAAGTGCCTTCCCTGAGAAGCTTCCCCATCTCCTAGCTCATCAGGCACTATCATGTAAAGAGCAGTCCCACCTGTCTTTTAATATGTATAATGACTGGCTACAAATTAGGCCACCAACTTTGCTGATGACCCACTAATATATCTTGCTTTATTACATCTCTGCATCTCAGTTCCATCAGTAAAATAAGGATAATGACCCCTTTGCAAAGCGCCTTAAGAGCTATGGATCTGACCTATCAACACGTGGGTTATGTATTCCTGCTTGTCTCATACTGACCAAGCTGGAATTCCCTGTGATTCTGTAAAAGAAAAAAAATAATAAAAAAAATATTCATCTACCTATGGGGTAGTTACTGCAGCTAAACCTACTGGTGCTGCTGACTTTTTAGTCCCACATCATGCAAACTACAGGGCACAGGGGGATGGAGATGGACCTCCCCAGAAGCAGAGGAGCTGGATGCCTTTCTGGAGCTGGAGCTACTGATGTGCTCATGGCCATCCATGAAACCCAAGCTGAGGCCAGGTCTGAACTGGAGCAAAGCAGTTTGTTGGCCCTCTGTTACCAGCAGATGGGCAAGTAGATGATTTACCATGATCTTCTCTGTTTATCTGTGTATTGCTGATTTTACTGAGATTTTCCCTGTGCAAACACTGAGTGCTGTGGGATTTTTTGTTTTGTTTGTTTTGTTTGTTTGGTTGGTTTTTTTTCCCCTCCAGGCATCACAAAATACTGCTAGTAAACCAAAGGTCTGTACTCACCCTGGATTTCTCAGCAATGCTGCAGCTGGGGCCGTTCCACTGAATCAGCACTTTCCCGAGGTCCAGCAAGAAAACATCACCCTTATTGAAACTGTCCCAGGAAAGTGCTACCTGTCATGAGGAAATTAAAGCATTTGGCAAACCAGAGGGGACAACAAGAGCTGCAGGAGACAAGTCACAGCCATTGCAAACTTGCCCCTGGGGATGTGAGAACTGGTCTGCAATGATATGCTCATTTTTGTAGCACTCAGCTATTCCGACCTCAATGGCTTCTCTCGTGATAATACCAAACTCCCAAGCAAGGTCTTGAAAACAATCCTGTAGTAGGGGTTCTTGAGCAGAGATGAGCTGTTTAGCAGGCAAACCTGGTTGAAAATGGGTGTAGGAGGAGAGGCAAGGAGAAGTGATCCATAAGAAGAGAGGGCTTTTCTTTTTACCTCTGTGGCTGACACATGCTTCTTCCCCTTGACATGAAGAAGACGTTTGATGTTGTACATATTGGTCTCCACATGCTTAAATCCTGAAGCCACTCCACCCTTCTTGTAGCTGTTGTGTAGCAGGGAATAAAGAGTCAAAGCTGGTTAGAAAATGCCTTTCCCTCTACCCTCTGAGAACATCTCAAGCTTTTGGTGACAACTAAAAAACTTAGAGCCAATATAATCTCAAAGTCCTAAAAATGGAATGTCAAATGCTGTATTGCCTCACGCTACTGTTTATGGTCCCTGGTCAAACCATGACTCCTCACATTGTTCATCCACCTGTTATGGGTGTTGTGTTGCTTTTGTGCATCTTGGGAGAAGGTGTGTAGATGAACAGGTAGGTCAGGGATGGCAATGGAAACGCAACACAACCGAACTGAAAATCTCATTAACCATGGCAGTGGCATCTCAGAATTGAAATATGCTGTAAACATGCAATTAAAAAATGAAACATATTTTGCAGAAAACAGACTTTTTGCTAAAATCTGGTTTTGTTCAAAATAGTTATTCTTTTAAAAGTAGCTTAGATAGGAAATTGTTGCCATAAGTAGAACAAAATGCTATTGTAAAAAGGTATAGGACACTGTCCTTCTCTCAGATTTAATCTACCAATTTTGTTCTTCCATCCTTGAACACACACTTTGCAATAGCTGCTGTTACCACTGTATTGCCTCACTGCATGATGCCATCCCCTCCTTTTCATGCAACTTTGCAAGGAAGACACAATCACATCATGAGAGGACACGGTCCCCCAGGGAAGTCCCAGAGCCTTTTTACTGGGTTTTGGGGCAAGGCTAACCCACTTCCACATATCCCATACCATTTTAGAAAACAGATCCAATGTTCATACTATAGTAATAATTGACAGAGTATAATTGCCGTTAATGGGAAAAAGCGACAATTACTAAGAGTCTTATAATTTTGCCACGTGGGTAATACATGTATTTTATCATAGCATGGAAGAGATTGGCAAATGTGGTCAGGCGTGTGAGTGATTCACAGTACTTTAGACTTGTTTGGCCCAGTTGAACATACCCACAGAAGGATGGTCTGGTGATTAGTCCACCTGCCAAGGTGTGGAAAGAGCCTGGTTTAATTTCTAATTCTGCCTCAGACTTCCTGCTTGACCTTAGGGATGTGGTTTAGACCAAGAAGTCATCTAACTCATACTGATTTCAGAGGCAGATAAGTTTCCAAATAGACTTCCAAATCTACATGCTTTTGAAGGTCTGAAGTTTAGTCCTTCATTGCCCCTTACTCATCTTTATGATGAGGATAAAAGCACTTTTTTGCCTCACAAAAGTCCTGAGGAAACTCATGAAAGGTTGTAGAGATGCACAATACAGAGGTATCAAAAAACAGATTGGGATACAGGGTATTAACTGAGGATGGGTTTTCATCCTGAGCTTTCTTCAGCTGTTTAAAAGCAAGGCACTTAGGCTGTTCATTGCCAGTGAAGGTTCTCCAGGAGGACAGCTGTTGGAGTCACCTTCCGAAGACCCCAAAAGGAGCAAAGACCACAGAATTGGATTCAACAGTATCTTTTAGACGGCAGAAGTTCAGAGTCAAACTTTCCTCCCACTACAGGAATATTACTCCCAGAGTGAGCCAAATCAGCACTTCTTTTCCCGGTGGATATTAGTCTGAACTGCCCTGAATGGACATATTTATCTAAAGTGTGTAGAGGAGAGGAAGGAATACCCCAAGGTGAACAAAAGGGAGGTGCAATCACAGCAAACATCTGGGAAAATGATCAGTAGAACAGAATGACATGGTTCCAGACTCAGTGCTTACAACTAAAATTTTCAAAATAGAAAATTTTTCTTCTGAATTTTGACCGACTTCAGTGCTGATCCATATTTTTCAGATTTTTGGAATGCTGATAGCTCTGAGATGTGGAGAAGCAGAGGGAACCCCGGGGACCATAACCCACCTCGTTGCAGGGTATTTTATGCTACTCACATAATGCCGTTGCGGAAATAACTTTGGAAGGTCTCAGACTCATGTCCCTGCACTTCTCGGTGCTGCACGGGGTTCCCGCTGAGCACATTGTCCATCTGGGTGACGTACAGGGCCGCAGCCCCTTGCTCATCCTGAGATGAATCCTTGCCAATCCAGTAATGCAAATCCACAGCAGAGCCATGAGAGGTTCTTTTGGTCTGGAAGAGTTGGGAAAGACAAGTCAGGATGAAGACACAGCCCATATGTGTGTTTCAAACAATATTGCTGGCCAGTGAGACCTGCCAAAACCAAGTAACCATGGAGCCCTATCTCAGGACCTTTCCCAGTTCCGCCTTTCTCCTGGGGAAGGGGAGAAAGGACAGAGCCTTAGGATAATCCCTGAGAGCTTCAGCCTGGAGCCAGGGACCTGATTTGGGAAAGCATTTATGTGGCTTATGTACATATTGCACTGAAGCATGGTTGTGTCTTATGGTCTTACGTGCTTTTATAACTCTTGTTATCAAGGAAAACTGAGCACATCTGCAATTACAAAGATCAATGCGTTCAACCTGTCCTACTTTTGTAGAGTTTGATATTAAAATTTAAAAGAGACTAGGGAAGTGATTGTCCTGTGTCCAGTGTACTCGGCACTGGTGAGGCCGCACCTCGAGTACTATGTTCAGTTTTGGGCCCCTCGCTACAGGAAAGACACTGAAGTGCTGGAGCATGTCCAGAGAAGGGCAACAAAGCTGGGGAAGAGTCTAGAGCACAAGTCTTATGAATAGTGGCTGAGGGAACTGGGGTTGTTTAGCCTGGAGAAAAGGAGGCTGAGGGAGACCTTATCGCTCCCTACAACTACCTGAAAGGAGGTTGTAACGAGGTGGGGGTCGGTCTCTTCTCCTAAGTAACAAGCGATAGGACAAGAGAAGATGGCCTCAAGTTGCACCAGGGGAGGTTTGGATTGAATATTAGGAAAAATTCCTTCACAGAAAAGATTGTCAAGCATTGGAACAGGCTGCCCAGGGAAGTGGTTGAGTCACCATCCCTGGAGGTATTTAAAAGACATGTAGATGTGGCGCTTAGGGACGTGGTTTAGCGGTGGACTTGGCAGTACTAGGTTAACAGTTGGACTTGATGATCTTAAAGTCTTTTCCAACCTAAATGATTCTACGATTCATAGATCACCTTTTTAAATGTAATGTACACTGCTATTTATTTGCCTGGAGATACTATCCTTTCTTTCCCATTCTCTTTCTCATATCACACTACATAGTAACACAAACTGCCTCTGAATTCCTGCTGACTTGCAAAACAGACATAACTCCAATGGAGCTGAACCTGCGTGTGCATGCTGTGATTCATCTTATTACAGAAAAACCTAATAGCCTAGAAAGAGGAGGCAAGGGATCTGAGAACAGGTGCACTTATTGTTATGTGAGTTGTGCCAGTTATTTTTCAGCACCTACTGTGTTAAACCCTATCATGGACACCTGGGAAAGGTAATAAAAGCTCATTTTATAAACTGGATTTGACACTAAGTTCTGTTTATTTGCTTTGTGCAGTGATACCACAGCAAAACACACTAGAAGAAGTTGAATAAAATACAGCTCAGTTCCTCTAGGCACAGCTAATTAATTTGTTGCAAAATCACTCAGTTTAATACCCTGTTATTGAAGATGATCAAAGTCCCATTGTCTTGTGGACTATCTTTGTTTGGAGAGGCTCCAGTCAAGATGCAGAATGCATAGATGAGTATTTTTACCCTCCCATCTGCAGGGGGAAAGGAGAGTTGTGGGCTGATTAAGGGCTTTTCTACCTGGGGAAGCTATTGCAACATAAGCTGAGCCTGTGAGCATCAAAATCTATACTGATATCTGTAGTCAGCTCCTTGCAAGAACACTCATATTCTGCTCTAAGCATGTCTTTGGGTAGCTGCTACCAAATCAATTCAGCACTCGAAAGGTAGCATAAAGGCATGTGGAGGGTGAATTAGAGCAGGAGACCCATTCTCTATTGCTATCTCAGCCTGATTTCCTAGCTTGACGTATAGTGGATGTGCCTTTGGTTCCTGCGGGATAGTGGAGGCTTTGCTATCTCTTGACTGATGGAGATGTTTGCAGGAGGGACACTCAGACCCAGGAATTGGGAAACGCTTCTGGTTTCCCCTGTATGGACATTGTTAGATGCAATGGGGCCTGGATTGCTCTGTGAAGATGAAGAGGTTTGGAAGGAAGTTTGGGAGCTGAGTGCAACACATCAGCCTCCCACAGAGCTTCAGGAACACAAGGCACTTTGTACAGTCCACAGAGTCGAGGTGGTTCTCAGAAATTCCTCAAGCTTCTGGCTAGCCTGGCTTCAGCTGGTTGCAAGTGGGTCTGGACCAAATTTGGGAGGAACAGATGAAGTGTCCTAATGGGGACATGAGAAGGGCTGCAGAGCCTCTCGGCTGTTTGTGTGACACAGAGTAAGTGGCACACCTCCATAACCCACATCATCTGCTGCAAATAAGACCCTCCAGTCAGCCAACTCTCACACCCCCAAAAGACTCCCGTAAGTCATGCAAATGTAGGCCTTTATTTAGTTTGCCAGGAACGTACTGGATATTTTGCCATGTCTGGGTATGACTCAGTTAAATAATTTTAATGTATTAGTAAGTTAATGGTTCCTCTGGACTTCTGATTTACTAAACACACATTGTTGTTGCAACAGCCACGTTAAATTCAGGTGCCTGATTAGATAGTGAACGTACATGTACAACCACTTTTACCCACAGTGCTGCTCTTGCCAGTGAGGGTGACTAGGATCCAAGTCAGAGCTAAACAAAAACCAGTTGCCTACCAAAGAGACCAATGTTTGCTAGCCTTACTTACGTGCAGAATTATGTAGCAGTCTCCTTCAAAAAAAGTCCCATAAGCCTTTTCAGGTACAGGAACCATCTTCATATTCTGCAAGGAAATGAGTGTTTGGGTCATTGCTAGAACTTCAGAGGCAGAAGTTGATGTGTGTGAAAAAGGACAGCTGGGGTGAACGAAACACTAAGGTGACAATCAGGGTTTGGAGAAGGAAAAATCAAGGCTGTGCTTGTGAGCTGGGAAAAGCCACTTCTGGGGGATATCCCAAAAGTACTAAGGGGTGAGAAGGGGCGAAGGATAATGCTTCTTGGACAAATTGACAAGTATTTTTTAGTTTCCTTGACCTTCTGCAATCCTGTAGGTCTGGAGCAAGAAGACCTGGAGGTCAGGCTGAAGTGCTCCAGAGCTTGCATTTGTAGGGAATTTCCCAGGGGACTGAGCACATCTCATCCTAGGTTTAGTTTTGGGGCGCGGTTTTTACTCAGTACCCATAAGTTCAAGGGTAACTTTCAGAGCTTTGTTAGGATAACCACTTTGCCAGGGATTCATAGCAACCAGCAGTGCTGACAAAAGACAGACTTGAGGACACTGATGTGTCCCTCACCCCTCCAGGCCCTAATGGCACACTTCATCTGGTGCAAGTGCACAATTAACCAGCCATGCCTGCCCAGCGTAGGTGCCTGGATGTGCCACCCACCAGTATACATGCAGCTCCTGGGCTTGAACTGGCTCTGTGGTTCCCTGGAATTAGAGACATGCATTCTTCTGGTGGCCTAACTGGTTTCCCAGCATACCAGCTTGACCCTTGTGAACTGACTTGTCTCTAATTACAGATTCTCTGGAAAGAAGCTTAGTACAGTGCTTCTGAGAGAAATGGAAAGGCAAAGATCCTGTGATGTTTGGAACACAGCTGGGACCTGTGGAGGGCCACCACCATTTGGAGACGTGCTGGAGCCCTGTCCCACTGCTCCCGAGTGGATTCTGCACCTCAGTCTACGCCCCCTCTCATTGCAGGGGAACGTTCTTGGCAAATTAGGTCAGAAAAAGGCAGAATTGAGCACAGCCCAGCTCCACTCCAAAACCAAATATCACTACAAGCAGAAGGTGACCTCGCAGGCTGCAGTATCTCCTTGCAGTGACCCATTGATCAGAGTGGGAAAGACAAGGATGAAGTGCAAATAGACTCCATGGGATGCCTTTGCTCCAAAAATGTGTGCTTTCCCCACAGGAGCTGGTATAGACTAAGGTCACCTATGCGTAAACCCTCTTCCTGGTGAAACAGGGAATTAATTTCTGGTGTGCTAAAGCAGCCCTGCATTGGTTTCCAAAGGGGTGGGAAAGCCTCCAGTGCTGGAGGAACAGCTTCAGTCCCACCGCATTCATGTTTCCTTAGTCAAGATTATCCCTGTTTTGCAGAGCAGGAAACCAAAGCAATAGCATGTTGAAAGTTGCACAGGGAGATGCTGGGTCTCCTGTTTCCCACTGTATCTTACCTGTGAGACCCTCTTTTCCCACCCAGATTACTTCAAGATAGATATCTCTTTCTTGAAACATATATACACACACATGCAGAAGACATATGCCATCATTGCCTCTTGTCATACCTCTATGCCCCATATCTGCAGTCCCAGCTTTCTCTCAATAGTTGGGAGATTTGTGTCACTGTCTGTCATCCTGCAGTCTGACCTAGAAGGGAAAGGAAGAAGAAAAAACAAAATATCTATATAATTGGATACCACAGTAAGTGTGCTAGTCAGGTGGGTTCCTCTTACTGTCAGTGGAGGTTTAATATAGATAATCACACCTTGAAGTGTCTCTATCTCTCTGCTGACTATGAAGAGAGCACAGCTGTACTTATCAACAGTTAGGTGGGATGAACCTACATTCCCAGGCTATCCATGCTCATGGGGGACCAAGCAAAGTGTGGGAATCACAGCCCAGCAAAGCCTGGATAGGATACTGTTGTTCTGGTGCGGGATTATTTTCCCCCTATTTGAATAGGTGGAAAGGATTTGTCAGGGTGTTGGACCTGACATCAGTACTGCTTTGTTCCCACCATGGCATGAGGGGTGGCAGAGACAATGGTGAACCTCCAGGAGACCCGTGCCCTCCTGGAACAGCCACTGGAGGTCAGGTCAGGTACCCTGGGGCACTGGGAGCCTGAGGAATGAAGGATGAGGTTCAGGTCTAAATTAAGACACCTGCAAGGTATCTCAGGGCAGGGCACCAGGCTCTCAGCTCCGTAAAGGTCAATGGAGACTTAGCCAGCACAGTCAGCAGAGCATATGGAGCCATCCAACTGATGACCCAGACGTCTTCTTTACACATAGCCAAGCAGCAACCTAGACTCTGCTGCCTGTATGGGGAAGAGGTAGGTTTCAGGTTTCAGTTGCCCACACAAAGGTGTCTGGGGACATTTGAGATGTTTTTGGTATCTCCAGCTGGCCCTTTATTGGGAGAACATGTCCCATCTACCATCGATAGTATCTACCAGCCGTGAAAAGAAAAAATGACCACCCTTAGATATGCTCCCTGTTCCTACTGCTTGGATAGCTGAGGTTTTGCTCAAGAAGCAACTTCTGAACCCCGCTTGTTTACAGGGCAACCTCCTGAAGCAAATCATACCTAAACCCGATGCATATGAAAACAGTGGGTTACATCCCAGCAGAGCTGGGGGGCCCATGGGGGACGGCCGGTGCCTCCTGAGCAGCTCAGGTCTGCTGGCACAGGACAGACTGTCCTTGCATAGGGGCAAGGCCCATATCAACCTTCACCGTATGAGTCACAAATCAAGGTCCAGCTTCGAGAGAGAGCACAGCTCACTGATTTCTGCGTTTTGCATTCATTTGCTTCGCCAGCGTGCTCCCCCGATTTGCATTTGCTCATGACAGACTGAACAATTGTACTATGTTAAAAACAACAACTTGATTGACTGCATTTTATTCTCTGTCTCCGGATGAAAAGGCTGCACTGATTGTAGGCCACAGCCTCTCCTGCGCTCCTCTGCTCAGCTGTAGGAAACCGCCTACGAGAAGGAATGGTGCCATGGCTGCCTCAACTCAGCACAACAGCTGAGCCGTGGTAAGATGAAAAATAAAGAAGCTATTGCACAAATCCATGGAAGAAGCTTCTTCTGAAGAAAGAAAAGAACAAAGACAGATAATCCCTGGCCAAAAGGCATGGGATTTATTGCTCATGTTCTGAGAGCATGGAGAGACGTGCTGCACTTGGCACCATAAAATCATAAGAAGCGATGGTCCATCTCCTGAAGGGTTTGCACACTGAGTAAGAGCACAAAAATTGCTGTTCTAGGTGGGAACATTGGTCCATCCAGATCTCCCACAGCCCAGAGCTGCCAGTCCCTGGCTCCTTGCACAGGCAGTAGAGAGATGCAGGTACCTCCAGGGGTGTTTTGAGCGCAGCCCCAACACCTCTCGACTAACTGAGCAGGCACCCACGGTCCGTCAGCACTCGGTAGCAGGAGTCAGACACGCTCACTTGTTCCTGAACGCAGTCTGAAGAACTGTGGAAGACTGAGTCCATGTAGCCTCATGAACCTAGCAGGAGCACATTCACCAACCTTCATCTCCCTCTCAGGTCCTCCAAAGAGCTTCCAGACAAGAAGACAAACAGCATGGAGGAAAAAAAGACATTTTTCATCTCAGTTCCCAGACAGGTAATTGAGATGCACACAGATTAAAAGGCAGTTCCAGGAAGATATTTCAGTGTCTACAGAGGAGCTAGACACTTTCTGAATGGGGTCCTGACTCACCTACTGTGAAGTCCAGGTCTATCAGGAACTGAAGCCAAAAACATGATCCAGGTTCAGATCTTTAACCAAAAGACCTTTCCTTTCTTTTAATACAGCATTCAAAAGGTCCCTATCAAAGAAAAACCCAAGTGAAGCCTCCTTCCCTCAGTTATCTTTTTAATTTATTTAGAGTTTTTCCTTCCAGCATCAAAACAGGAACAACCTGAAAACAAATCTAGTAGAGACATTTGTATGTGAGCAGACTTCAGGGGGAGAAATTTTTTAGCAAAACTGACACTGCTCCCTGTGGAAGGCAGCAGGCGTCTTGCTCTCCTGCTAACAGCGCAGGAAACCGGCAGCTGTGAGACACAGCTGGCTCCCTGCTTCTCCCAGCATCCCCACCTCTCCCATCAGAAAAGTTAACCCAAAGAATGCTGAGATTCCTCTGAGCGCAGACAGCCGTGTTGGACAAAACCCTCCGAAAGCCAGCAACGCTCTACCGATTCCCACCCAAAGCTCTTTGACTCAAAATGGGGATCTTGGATCTCCTCTGCTCCTGGAGCTCCTTTCTCCATCTGAAACCTGCCCATTAGTGCTGGTCCCCACTTTTCTGAGAAATGCTGCCTCTCCCTTCCTCCTTAGTCATTAAGCTGGGGGGGAGTGTGAAGCACAGACAAGGTTGGCTGTTTCTTTGGACTTTCCAGCTTCTTTCGGCTGTTAGCCAAGTCAGAAATAATAGGAATATGACTTATGTAATCAGACAGCTCATTTCATTAATGATTTAATGTGGGTTTTTAATTAGATGATCCCATAATTCAACTCCTGCCCAGACACAAAATCCAGTATTTATGGAGTGAGAACTTCCCATCTGTGCTGAAACCAGGAAGGGCAGAAACTTTTCTAACATTTTTTTTTTAAAAAGGGGATGTTAAGAGGCTTGGGTTCATTGTGGGGTTTGAACAGAGATGTCCGGGTCAGTTCCTATCTCAGTCAAACCAGTTTTGCCCAGCGCTGGGTGAAATGCAAATTAGCAAGAAACATGAGTCAACTGCCTCTGGGGCAGGAATTCACTGGAAAAAAAACTGGTTATGGGGATGGACATTTGCTTCCTTGTACACAGACACAACTTTACCTCTGAAGGGGGAAGAGAGGCACTAAAGCAGCTGTAGCTCCCCTCTTTGCCTCCACATTAGTAATACGCGACTACCCAATTTCCACTTCCAGGGCCAGCAACTCTATTTCCACCATTTCGCAACCATGGAAAGAGGAGACAAGTTGACACCATGAGCGCGGGCTGAGGTGGCCACTGCGTAGCAAAGACAACTGCTGGCTTGAGGCTGCTCTGCTGCGTCATCCCCACTCGGTTAAGATACTACAGATTAAACTGCAAAGAGCAAATGGTGCTGTTGGTTGAGGGCAGAGGACCTGGAAACCAAACGTCAGTGGCTGGCATCTTGGCTGGATGTCACAGTGGGAACAACCTGGAGCCTCCAGAGCTAAAAACAAAGCCTTCCCTAAAGCGATCTAGGTAACAAAGCTGGTGGGTGAGGGCAGATGGGTCTCTGTTACACCCGCTCCCCTTTACGTGCTGCCAAAATCACAGCAACGCTCCTGCTTGCTGAATATGATCCCCCATCCCCTCTCTAATCAGCACAGTGTAGAGAAAAGCTTGGCCTTCAGGAAGGACTGGATGACTAATTAAGTGTCAAGGTCACTCCCAAGATTGGTTAATGAATAACAGTTGGGGTGGAAGTGCCAACAATCACTACTTCATTTTGGTCAACCCGGTACGTGTTGAGAAAGCAGACCTAGCAGGACATTTCTTCAGGCAGACTCAGGCTGTTTGGGTGGGGAGGGAAAATAAGGACTCAGAAGGGGGATAGGAGATCATTTCAAACTCCTAAAGTACGTTCTGAATTAAGCCTGATTTGGCGTGTCTGGGTTTTGGCGGCACACTTACTGGGCTGTAGTCACGGTAATAAAAAAACCCCAGTGAAATGACTAATGCTCTGTACAGCTTCGGGAAAATAGGAAGCAGCTGTGGCTCCAGCCTTTCTAGGCTGAAAGGCCTAATTATTGGGAATACTTGGACTGGCATTAGATGAGGTAAACCAGGGCTGTTGAATTGCTTTCATTGTCTCCATTATAGTTGGGCATCTGGGCCCAAGTAGGTGCCATTTTACGTTTGCAGAGAGGACAGCAGTTAACTCTTGTTTTGCCCAGAGGAATGAAATTCAACATTGAGTTACCTTGTGCGGCTCACCAGCTACTGCTCAGGACCGTTGCTTTGAACGGTGACTGTCCAGAAGTACAGCACTCAACCAACATAAGCTGTCTTTTATTTTCATGTAGCAGGAGGAAAAAAAGTGGCTTTTATCTCACATGGAAATGATAGGTAGGGAGGTCCAGCAGTGGGACTTGTCTTCTCTCTCATGCTGTCACACAATCCGTCACATAATATCCTCCTCCAATTTTTTTGGCAGGAAGGCAAAGGTTGCATAGGTGAGAGCACCTGCGACATACATAACCGTGTGTGTCGGTGACAGCTCCTATCCTCTTGCACAATCGCAGGAAGGGTTGCAATCAGAGAAGCTGAATCACGTTACCCATGTTGGATGTGCTGGGACATGGTGATGAGGCAGGGAATGGGATATGTGTTTTGGGGGGATGGCAAAAAAGGAAAAAATACAGCTTGGCTCACCCTCCTCCTCTCAGTCCCGTGAGGTCCAGGTTCAGGAGCTCAGTGTGGCCAGCATGCCAAGGAGAAGGCTCTGCACCAACACGCCCGGCTGACCACAGAGAGCACTTCAGCCTTCTTGGAAAGAGCTGTTGCCTGGCAGCTAAAATTACGTAAAACAGGCCTTGAAATAAGATGCTATTTCTGATCATGGTGGGCAATTAAATATTGGAACAGCTTATTAGGGAAGCTGGCAGG